TCTTCGAAATTGAGATGAGCAGTCTCGCCTACCTTTAAGGTGAGTAGCTATCAGGTTCACAAGAAGTGATGAATCACTGTGAGATCACCTCCGAATGACAGCCCATTATACTTCCAGATGGTTCTCACAAATGTATCGCACCAGGTGTAGTCGTTTTCGTTATTCGTTAACTATTCCCGTTGCTCTCATCCTACAGATGCCTCATTTTCTTCTGATATGCGAATTTGGGATTTGACATGAAATATAATTTGAACAGAATTCGATGACTGACGGACTTCGTAGTTTACGTGAGAAAGCCGGTCCATCAAAATCGGTTGTTGGTGGAAATGAAGAAAATTATTTTGATATCTTGAAGATATTAATTGCAATGAGGGATTGTGATATTTTCTCCAGATAATAAACAAATAAGTTATACAACGAAAAGTTTGCGTATTTCTGTGGTTGTGCGATGTCGTGGGTAGAGACACAAAATCCACTCTTAACAATTTCGTTCTTTTAATAAGAAAAACAATTTTTTGATTGAGTTTACTGACTTCTATGTGTTTAAAATGCTACCTTGTTATTACGTAATCGTTACAAGATGTAACCAGTAACCACTATGAATTTGGAGTAGCATTATAGTTTATTATTATTTGTACTCATATACATTTGTTTGGATATTTTATTTCACAATTGGCTTTAGAAATTACCATTGAAAGTAAAGAAAGCAAAAAGTTTACCTTCAGTACGAAAATGCAGAAAATATCGCGGGGTCAGACCCCATTATCATGGCAGTACATTGAATTGGACGAATTCCAAATGAGAATCACGGAATCTGAAGGACCTCGAACAAACCTATCACAAACACACTTCCATCTAGCACAAAATTCACAGTTTAGATTTAGATTTAGATTTATTGAGTCAAAAAACAGTAAATACTGTTGAGACGTAGGTGAGAAAAGATTATCAGTTTCTCCCACCTTTCCTAATAGCAAAGGCCAGAAAAATATCTTCCCAACGCGTTACCAACCAACCAGCAAAACCCATCCCTTCAACCCAGCACGTATGCTTGAAATTCATTAAAACACTCCACAGGTCCACAGAACAGAATAAATCATCGCCACTAAAATGCGAGCGGCAAACGGCCAAGCCACCCCGTCCGCAGCAAATACGCTCCGTCGCCCAGCGGACGGGAAACTATCGCCGGCGCTGTTCATCTGCCTCCGTAATCCTGAATTGACAGCTCGCTCCAGCGCACGCCCGCACCTGCCGACGGCGATGGGCGGTGGGCGGTGGGCGGCGGGCGGCGGCGGCGGCGGGCGGCGGCGGGCGGCGGCGGCGGGCGTAAAAAAAGAGCGAGCGATCGCGCGCCGGGGGATGCACTAACTGCGGCACGGCCGATAAAATACGCTCGTCGCTGCGTGAAAAAAAAGAAAGAAAAGCCCTCCGCGCGTGAATCTATACGGTGGCGTTACGCTGCCATCTGCCGCGCTGCGGGCACTGCTGCAGAGGAGCGGGTTCGATCCTCACGTCGGTCGCTGGATTTCCAAGCCTCTAGAAATCCACATTCAGCTGGTGGGATTTACAGCGCCGTTGCAAAGGGAAGTCATCCACATGCCTAGTGCGCTGAAGAGAGTTTTTTTAAAAAAAAAGAAAAGCAAATGTCATTTAAAGGAAGAGGTTCACACAATAAAAACTGATGTCTTTCCATGTTTTAAATCCTTACTAGAGCTTTTATTTAGGATGTTTTATAAGTAACATTGCTCCATTATTTCTTCACATTTTTCCTTGTCTGAGCAGTAAAGCGAAGTTGAGATTGGTTCGATGAATTGTCAAAAGCAGTTTCGATCCGCTCTTTTACTGAGGAATATTCAAAGGGCGGCAATTGAAATCATTCGTTCAAATTACACGTGATTGCCTTCGTCTTTCCGGGCAAAGACGTGTCGCAGGCTGGGGCGCCATTGTTTCCTTGGCCATCTTCAGGGCCAAACGTCGCCAGAGTGGCTAGTGGGTTCAGAGCCCCCGCTGCCACAACCGGCCAGGCAATAAATAGAAACCCAAACACGGAGCATCCTGACGCCGTTAATACTTAACGAAGGCCACGGTATGACGTTCGAAACGTTGACAAGCAACCCAAGGCGCGGCGAGATCCGATGTGCCAGGACCAATCACTGAACTCTGAGACTGCACTGTCGGTACGGGCAATATATATTGTTTAGTTTTAGAGAAGAATATGGTTTGGCGTTTTTCATTCTACTACATTTCATTAGTTACGAACATCACTTAAGAGGCAAAATAATAAAAACTGACATAAAAGCAAGGTTGACAACAAAAGATGCCAATGAACCTATTTAAATATATTATTTATTTTGAATATGATGGTTGTAGCAATACTTGAATTCATTTCCTATTTTCCCTTGCTTAGTTCGTTCAGAAACTGAAATTTCTGCAGTAGGTGCCGAAAACAGGACTTGTGTGGTATTCATTTACAGTATCCTATTGTTACGCCCAAAATTAGCCATGATAATTAGATTGTTTCGCTAGGGCAAAAGCAAACTAATAGCTACCAGGCTTTCTCTGTTTGAATTCCAAGACACTGACAATAGAGTTTAATCAACTAAGTCCACATGCATTTCACATTTACGTTTGTTAAACATTATTTCTCTCTATGCACTCAGCGTAATGATGTGATTACAAAATGGTGTGTATTTGTTGAATATATTAATACCAGTATTATTAAATGAAACATAACGTGAAATAAATTAACGTTTCAACTTCGACGTTTTAAATTGAATATCAAATATTTTTTTACGATTATCCTTTAGGTAAGGTCATTTGTTAGATCTCTCAATGTCCTACCTAGGAAATACCACATGTAACAAGTGAGGTATATAAAATAATGGTTGAATCTATCATTAGAAATGTCTGTTTTAAATTTTCTATCCAAGTTGTTTTTTCGTGACTCAACTGTGTGTCTCTATAACTGTGTAACAGGTAATATTGTCGTCATCTTGTTTCCTCCCTTCCACAAGGTTATCATCATTGGTAATTAAATGACATCGTTGGAAAGTCATATTTATATTTAACTCGGATACAACTAAGATTCTCGATTTGTAAGAAAGCTACAGTCGACCCTGAATTAACGAAAAGGGGAAAAAAATACAGCAACTGCAACCGACCACACAAATTCAATTTAATAAACGAGTGTCACCGATTTCTTTACACGCCCTCATATTATAAATGACACGTAATAACAGTGTAACGGCGCCCGCAGATTAATTACTCGCAATTTTACGAGAGGCGCCCACCAGAGCGCAGGACCTTCGCGCCGCGTCCGCCGATCGGGGCGCCGACGTCAGAGGCGCCGCCCCCGGTGGCGGCGGGCCAGGGGGGCAGAGGGGGCAGGGGCAGAGGGGGCAGGGGCGCCGGGCAAGGCCGCGACCTCCCGCTGTCCCACGCTGATCCGAAACGCGCGCCGCGGAATACAGAATTTCCGCGCGCCCCGCCGCCGCCGCCGCCGCCGCCAAGGGCGCATGCGCGGTGCGGCACGCGCGTCAATGCGTCGCCTTCCTTTGCCTCCGCAACGTCTTCAGATGCTCAGAATGTATACGGGACAAAACGGGTTCATACATCCGGCACGTTTTATTAAACAAATATTTTGATCGGTTATGAGCGCTACACTGAACATAGAAGTAATTATTATAATTCACTGTCGAGTCTTTCTTACAGGATCAGGATAATTGCGAACTGAGGGCGGTTATCCACGGGTGAAAATATAAGAATGTTAAATAAATAAAATTTAACCTACAGATTTACGTGGGGTACACGTGGCTGCTCTCCCCCATTCTTGTTTTATTTGTTTATTTATTTTATTTTTATTTATTAATTTTTTATTTATTTATTTACCAAATAAATAAATATTCATATTTATTATATATAACTATTCAATATATTAAAATATAAGTATTCATATTATTTACCAAATAACTATATTTATCCGCAGAGACTAGAAACAGATTAGAACATTTCACTTTTGTCAACAAAAGTAAGTCTGCTAATGTCCCAATGCAGAGCGTTCGTGTACAGATTGAATCCTAAATATGAATACCACCTTGAAAGTATTACACATTACAAAACTAAACGTGATTTATTCCATGCTACAATTTCCAACAAGTTGTTTCTTCATCTGCTGAGCAATGTTTTATTAATATATTTTATTAATATTATATTAATAATATAATTAATATATTTTATTAATAACTTCGTATCTGAAGATGGATACAAGATATTAGTCGAAAAGTCGTCAACGCTAACTTATAATATAGTAAAATAATAAATCACAGTTGTGTAAAAAATAAATCTGAATTTCTTAAATTAAACAGAAACTTTTTTTTTAATTCCCAAAAAGTCGTAATTATTCGGTAGTGTTCTCCGTGAACTGAGCGTGCAGCGCGGTACATGGCACAGCCTCGGCCTCGCATGCCGCTGTCCACCGTGGGAAACGAACCCAGGGCTCCATTGAGGGCGTGGAAAATGTAACACGCCGACTCGTGTTACAGCGGGCTCTCCACTGGTCACATCGAGGTCCCTCACCAGTCCCCAAGGCCCCCGGCGCGCCGGGCGGAGCTCTGCACCGCCCAGCGCAACAAATTAATCAACGCACATGTAACCCTTTTTGTAACCTAATAGATTAATTTTGGCGACTGCTTACAGCAAAATCCTTTTGTTTCAAAATATTGTTCGTATCATATATTATTCCTATACCGTAAATCTGAGGCGTTCTCACAAAATAATTTTAACTATAAACAAAATTGTGTATAAATTTACATACCATTCCTAGAAAGTTTAGGATCCTGTGAACACGATTTGAGTTATAAACAATGAATACTGATGAGGAATGATCAACAAACAGCAAGTTCGCTGAGAGTCTCTTGTCATACGATAAAATCAACATGAAATCTGACGTCATCTCACCATGGCCATTGCGTCATCTAGATGTGTCCTATCTTGCGCGGTATTCGCTCAATCAAGGACAATTCGTTGATCATCTCAGTCTTACCTGAAACAAATAGAACACAAGTTGTAGTTGCGGTGTACCTTAATAACAATTTTTAACGAACACAACTTGTTTTAAACAGATGTTGCACATATCGAAACTCAAGCTAAGGCAATATGTAGCTAACACAAGAACTTCAAAGTAAAATGCAAATCAAATTTTTAAACACTTGTATCACCTACGTAACCAATTTTTTAAATATTTAGTACATGACATGCTTCGTTCTCAAGCATAATCACTTCACACACATTTTTAATTATATTATGTCCAATGGGAATAAAAGGAATAAAACTCTTTCCGTTGTCACCAGCTATGTCCACGCATTTTCCCCTCTGATATAGCCGTGACCATGTTCACAGAGAAAGGTCTAATAAAGATGTCTGTCACTATGAACAAAGATTAAGTGGGCGATCGTAAAGGAAGAAGTAGAATTGTACACAGAAGGAACGTGAATTCTATGTTAGAATGATATCCCGCAATCTGCAGTGAGGGAAGCTCCAAGGTGTCTTTCCCACAACGTAAGACACGGCGCCGAGCTAGTAGCCTTGCTGGCACTCTGAACTTTAACTAACGAAAGGAACCTACCCACTCCAGCTGCTTCGAATGCGTAAACTGAGAAGTTCAAAGCGGAGCAGACTTTAGTTGGAGTACTATGTTCTTCTCAGGGTAAGCAATCGCGTAGTTAAGCATCACAAGAAGGATTTTACGACATCCGCGTTATACGACTAAGAAATGTACGTTACTTTATGTTTATGGATATAGCGACTGCACGCCCATGCTTCCAGATATCCCGACTTTAACATCTGTTTCTAAAACTGTGTTAAAAGTAAAATATAACATTTCAAATTTCACAAGATCACCAAAAAAAGTTCAGTTTATAACAAATCAGTGCAAGGTTTCATTGCAAAATACGAGTATATACAAATTTTTTTCTTAGTATTGTATTCTAATTTTTTTCTCGCAGACGTTTCATCTACTCTAAACTACATGTCATTTTGTGGTGTGCACATTAAGCACATTTTATTTGAAGCGGTAAAAACAAGAACGATATAAGTGACTTTTTTAAAACTCTGACACAAACGTGTTTCTTTTAGACTATATTTTTTTGGCGGACTGTATTTTCGTGATTTTAATGAACTGAAAAGCCGTTGTTTTAATGATGAAACAAAGCACCAAGACTTTACATTGATACTTGTTTAATTAACAAGTTTCTCAGAGTTGATAAAATGTCACTTATACCGCTCTGGTTTTCGCCCGTTCATTTATAGTCAGCGTTTCTTCTTTACCATCAATCTTTAATCCGCTGGACATGGACACCGTATATTTCAAACACTCTAATGTTAAATGTATTTGAAGCATCCATTCTTTAGTTACATTTTCTTTATAACTAACTAGAAGGCTTTATCAATAATTGGTTAAAATTACAAATGTTCAGTAAGAATTAGGGCAGGCTGGATACTTTCTTTAAGACGCAAAAATGCCCTCCATAACAAAGAACATACTTGAACGGAGAAAAGAATCGAAGTTAACGGACGCGAAAAAGCTACCAATCATTTCCCACCGCGTCTTCTCCGGAGAATCGGAAGGCCCCGCAGATGGCGCCAACACGTGTCAACAACCGCTGCTGCCGTTATCCGACGAGTGGACAGCCGGTCGCCGCCACCTCCTTCGCCGCCGCCTCCGCTATTCCGCCGTCGCCCCTGCCTTCGCTACCGCTTTTGCCTTCGCTACCTCCGCCCCCGCCCCTCCTCCCGCCTCCCTCCGTCCCGCCCTGTCCCGCCGTCCCGCCTCCCGGTCCGTCCCGCCTCCCTCCGTTCCCGCCCCCTCCGCCCGCCTTCCACCCCGCCACCCTCCCTCCGCCCCCCTCCGCCCCCGCCCCGCCTCCCTCCGCCCCGCCTCTCTCCGCCCCCGCCCCGCCTCCCTCCGTTCCAGCCCACCCTCCACCCCCGCCCCCGCTGCTGGCCCCGCTGCCGGCCCATCGGCCCCTCAGCGGGGAAGCGCCGAAGATGCCCAGCGTGGAACCCGGAAGGGCTTCCTCCTCGCAATCGTTCTCTCATTTCGCCAGCGCCCAACTGTCCTCCTCCCCCTGGCCACAGCGCCTTCGCTTCAGCCGGCCGCAGCTCGCTTGACAATACGCCAGCGTGGGACGCTAGGGGGCCTTGACTGCCCCAAGCAGTTTGCTCTTTTCTTCGTTCTTTTTCATTCTTTGCGGATTCTTTCAACGAGTGGGCGTGAGAACATACCCCTGCAAGCGTATGTACGGACGCCTACACATTTGTTGAGAACGCCACCAGTTAAAGCATCCGTTTCTGCAGAATTCGATTTGTAATTCAGTACACGAGACTAACACACTCAAGTTTACACTGTAACACGTGGAAATGCTTTTCTCATTTCCAAGAGAGTGCTTTCATTTTAAACGTGGCCTCTTGCGAATAAATCGCGATATAATTTAAAGTTTTTAAAATAATTACTCAAGCGTAAGAGGGTATTAATGAAGAAGAAGAAGAAGAAGAAAATAATTAGACGACATCAAAAGATAAGTACGAGTTAATGGGAATGAAACCCAAGAGACTTTTAAGAACATATTTAGTTTAGTTCAAAATTGAAATTTCCGTGAAGAAAAATCTACCCTTATTTTTTCTTACCGAAATGATTTTTAGGCTCAAAAACTCACTACTACCTGAAACATTTCTTAAAGTGAGATTAGCTAAAAATGTTCAACCGCATTAAAGTTGCAGTTCAGTTTGTTGTCATAATTTTGCCTTCACATTGTTAGTTAAGCCCCCAAACTCTGAATTATAAATCTTGAATTTTTACATTTGTATTTTTATGTACATTTGTTTGTGTGTATTTTTATTCACAAGTGACACAGAGCGCTTGCTCATTTGCAGAAATGAAGCATTATTATTTCTACAATAGTAAGCTTCGAGCCAACTGGGAAACGGTTTTTCTAGCTCTATGGCCAGAGGTGCAGTGCCTCTGGCCGGGACGTCCTAGGCTTGGAGTACCGACAGTCGTAGGTTTTTCGACACCGGCTACATAGCTATGTCGAAATCAGCCACTGACTGGAGGAGAGTTCTAGAGGCTGCCTGCTGTTATCGCTGATTTTCCGTGGTCTATCCGATCAACACCAGGCTAATGCCGAAGCAGTACCCTAACAAACGAGCTACGGTCCGCGCGCGATTTTTCCTTCCTCTTCCTTGTCCTATCCTCACCCCTTAAGCACACACTTACACTAACATGCACTACACTACCACGCATGTCGAGACCCGGTCGGGAGCTAAGAGCTTGCCCCGCTGGTGGGAGATGTCTGGTTGGGGAAGACCCGACCAGCCAGCCGACTTGTAGGTCGTGGCCGTCACCATTCAATACGGGAAGATCACGAGGGAAAAACGTACACCGCCTATGGGATTCACAGTCAGCATTTGACACGCCTGGATTCATGAACGAATCGAGGGCGAGAAGGCGTGAAGTGGGCTGGCGCGACCGGACGCCCGAGACCCCGCCACGCCCTCCAGCGGCACGTAACTTAGTTGACGACAGCTCTCGACGGCGGCGGTTTTCACCGGACGCCTCCGCCAATTGGAGTGCGGTGTGGGAAAAATTCGTTTGCCATTTAATCTCACGGATGAAGCAAGATCCACGAAAGGCTAAAGGAAGAAATGTCTGTGAAATGCCAACGTTTCAACAGCCTTCATTTTGTATGTGTTCTATGTGACTAAATGCTAATTTAAATAGAGCGTTAGCAAATAAAGATTTCGGGCCGTGCACAAATTTAAATGGCTCTTCCATCTCACTCTTCAGGCGATCTCGTCTCACTTAAACAAGCAGATCTCAAAAATAAACAGAAGACAGTCCCTTCTAAATCCATATGTATCTCGGCTTCTGAGATTCAATTTACAAAGTGGTAAACGGTAAAAAAGAAAAAAAAAACGACTGACATTCCATAAAGAAAAGGACTCACGGGTTATTTCTAAGTCTTGACCGAATTTCTTTTCGCTAAGAAACATGGAATACTCTTCCAAAAATTCGAAAATAAAAACAAATTCACAGCATTTCAGTACCCAGGTGTCCCTAAAGCATTTTGAATTCAATGTGCGTCTCCTTGTGGCGCATAACCCTGGTCCGAAACAAAGTTTTACGAATATGTATCACTTATTTGTAAAGACAAATAACTCCGTACTCCTGCTATATTTAGAAAAGGTTTCACAAAGCCAAAGTAAGATAATTTTAAGATTACAAGTATTGAAGATTTGGAATGATAACAGCGCATTAAAACTCATAACAACCACAAAGAATATCATGGATTCAAAAAGACAAAAGAGTACATTCAAAATGGCACATTACAGAGCATTAGCAATAGAATAACGTAAAGGTTTTTATCTGTTTTTTTAAACAGTCCTAATATAAATAAATAAACTTCAGTTCATTGAAAAGAAAAAGAAAAACAAGCATATTCTCAATCACCGCCGACAGTTTTGTTTGCAATTCCTCGTCACTTCTTTGACCGCCGGGGAAGCATGCGAGGGACTCACCCTCCGGGCTACGCTGGCGCGAGGGCAGCGGGAGCTTCCCGCAGCGCTCTTCAATTACGCGCTGCAATAATAATTACTCGCTGCGCGCGCCCGCACCCGAGCGCAGAAAGCGGCAACGCGATTAAGTATTTATGTACGGGGCGGCGCACGGGCGGAGCGCGGCTGGCCAGGACCGGGGCGCGGGGAAGGAATGGGATGGTCGGGTAGGAGGGGAAGAGGTGCGGAGGGCGGGGAGTGGTGGGGCGAAGCGCGAGTCGCCAGCAACGCAGGCGCAGAGCGAGACTGGGCAGGAGGGGGTGGCGGAGAAGAGGGTGGGGCGAAGCGGGACTTGCCGGGACGGGCGGGGCCGGGCGAGGACGGCGAGACGAGCGGTCGAGCGGGGACGAGCGGGCCGGGTCGGGGCCGGACGAGGCAGGGCGGGGCGGTGTGGGCCTGGGTCGGATCTGACCAGACGGGGCGGGGCGGGGC